GTAATAAACCTGTAACAAGTATTGTACTTCAGCTTCTGGGTTAATGACCCCCATCTCGATCGGGTTTTCGTCCAGTTTCCCTGATCCTCGAGCAAATGCTGAGATGGTCCCTTGCCTCTGGTCATAAACGTAACTTCAAATTAACGTCTCCCCATAGTATGTCATACACAGTTTTTAACGGTTTTTGCCGTAAATAAATAAAGGAGGCAGAGAAACGTCCTAACTTCAAGAGTTGGGAAATCAAGATCTGCCAAATGTGGAGCGTAAAAGCATAGGCCGTCTCGATAGTAATTGGAGCACAGAGATTTCGTTCCGCAAAATTTGTGTAAGAACTTGGCTAAACTGTCCGTTCATTCAAAAGACTGGGACGTGCACGACATTGCTTTACTGGGAACAGCCCACATTTTACCAAAGTATTGTAGAGGTACCCACAGTCTCTTAGATCTGCTCCTTAGGAAGCTGATTCCGAGTTGCCAGCAGCATTGCCTTATTAAAAAAATGTTGCGTCGAGTTCCTCTCGCGCCGAATCCTTCACGCACGTTTCTTGTGTTCGTGTCAGAGTAAAGTAATATTCTGTCTGCACTATACTGCTTTCAATATGAGTGCATAAAGAACTTTCCTGGAAGTTTGATACTCCAATAATTGGAGAGAAGATTCGAAATTACTAGGCTTCCAGGAGAAATTCAACAAATGGTAATACAGAAAAAAAGAAAATCAAACTCGAAGAGATTGCTCAGGGCATCAACTGATGTCACTGCAGTCCCTCTGCCTGGGAGGTCCTAGGTTCGAGCCCAGAAGTTGGCAGCAATTTCAACACTACACAACACTACAATTCAGTCGCTGTCTTGAGAAGAATTCTAGAGGCCAGCTTCTCTGATAGGTAGGTTGCCGTGGTTTCTTCGATCAACACCAGGCGAATGCCGGAAAAGTACCCTAACAAACGGGCCACGGACCGCGCGTAGACACAGATAGAGGTAGAGAGAAACGGAACCACACTCGTGATAAAGTCTTTCGTCTATTGAGATTTTCGGGAAGCGTAGCGTAAAACGTGAATAACAATCACGTGACCAGTAGCATGGGAAGTGTAATACATTATAATAGCGAAGCATTGCCGGGTACACTAGTATACAATAAAAACTGAAATTGATTAGGCTTAAAAAGGCACGGCCCTATTAGACCCATTGCGCCTTACCGCATTCCAAAAAATGGCGCGTCTAACAAAAGATTACAAAAGTGCAAACAATAAATGCATGAAAAATAGAAAAGAAAAATATGCGTTCTTCGTGGATGTGTAGGGCATGACCCAATTGAAAATTAATTTGGATCAAATAATAGTACAACAAAATGTACTTTATTTGGCATTTTTACTGTATTATACTTCTAGAATTTTTTAAAAATTATGAACAATGCTTGAATATGTAATTAAATTTGTGTTTTTGTGTGCATGTTAACTAATATTAAACAGTTTCTATAATTAAGAAAATGACCATGAAAGACCAACGCGTTTGCTGCCCCCAATTCGCATCTTCTCCTCATTGGGAATTTGTCATCGCGTCCGCGGTACACGATTCGTTCCTCAAACCGTTCTTATAGCGATTCGCTTGCCCTTTCGCCAAAGGCGCTGCTTGCCCAGTGCTCACTTCACCCCTCCCCTTCCCACCACAAGTGACTCTTCCCGCTTTATAACTCCCGTCGCAGTTGGGAGCGGAGATCCGAGCACTCGCGCTTACAGTTGGGCATGCGTTTATTATTTCAGAGCGAGCCAAAGGTTAACACATTGACCAATATAGACTACCTTGACTCCGATATTTGAACTTCATACAATGAAGCGTTGAACTTGATATTTTTACCGATAAATAAATAAAATATATAATTCTTGAACGGTGTGTTTGTTTTTAATATTTTGACTAAGAGACCGAGGCCCAGGCAGCTGCCGAGTTCGCCCATGCCTTTAAGCAGCACTGCCTCGGATAACGTAAAAAACGCTTAAGAGAATGACACATCTCATTTTCGTTAAAAATTCTGATATTTCGAAAATTGCAAAAATTCAAAATTCATTCGGCGTCTTCCCACAACTACAATTATGAAGATTTTTTTCTCTAATGAAATGTGTTTATCAAAAACAGATCTACAAATAAGATCACGTTCAATTTTTCGAAAGTATGTTTATTTTTTGCGTCATTTTCAACCACAAAAAGCAATTTTTAAAATTTAAACAATCATTTTCTCAGAAACGTCTCCAGTTTTCTTCACCTTTTTTTACGTATGTACCAAAGAACGGTAAAGAAAGTGGTGCTGGTCCCATTTTCGACGATCTCTGTATTTTCGAGAACTGGATAAAAATTGAGTTTTCCTGAAATTACCTGTTTTCTACAGCTAGGGCGAATTATGTTTTGCCAGAATTGGAGAAAGTGCATTTAAAATACCGTAAAATTCAAATATTTTATTAAAACTTCCGAAATGTTGGAAATTGTAGATTTTCAAATTAATTTTGGAACTTTTCGTATATAAACAATATTTAAGCCAGAGATTTTCTTCTCTTAGGATTTATCACTCAATTTTACCCTTTTAAATGATGTCACGCTCTATAAAACATACAAGTCTTATTGAATATGACCACTACTCAAGGGAATGCTTCGTTATGCCACACATTACTACTCGTTTTTATCCCCTTTTGCAATATTTTAGACCAGAACCAATTCGTATTGCTTTATTAATGAGAGTACATGATAGGCTTGGACATTGACGTGTTGAAAAATAATTATTTTATACATTATGAACGCAGCTTTCTCTTTAAATTGCAGCTCTGAGTGTAGCCGATTTTCCAAAGCCATGGGTTAAAGTCGGCTTCCAAACAAATGGGTTGGGCGTAGTACGTTAGTCGGTTTAGCAACTTAGTATTTAGTCATATCAATTACATTAAATATGAACAAGCTTTTCCTTCATTTTTTCCAATCAGTGTATTAGAAAGTTGTAGGCTGATAATTTTGCTAATATATTTTCAATGTTGGCTTTTTTTTTTTTAGGTGGTCCTGATATTCAAACAGCCCTTCAATGCCCTTTTTATATTTATTAATGTCTCCACCTTACTTAAGCTGTACGTTTGGGCCCGCATTTGCCGAGTTTGTAATTCTATCAGGTTAAATCGCGCCAAAGTTGTCAGCGACTGGAGCGAAGAAGAGCGGCGATTCGAACCCGAGAGCGCGTCTCGCTGTAATGGCACCGAATGCAATTTCCGACAACTCTGCTAGCGTCGATCGACACTTTCCCCTCTGCGTCGTCCGCCTCTGGAACCCCCCTCCCCTGGCCCACCGCACACCGCCACTCCGTCCTGCCCGAACATGCGTCCTTCACAATTTCGTTCCGCACCGTCCTCTCTACGCCCTACCCCCTCGCTCCTGTGCCCAGCCGCCCTCCGCCCTGCGCCCTATCTCGCCTGGGCTCTGGCACCTCCCCCACGGCCCTTACACCGCCCTGCATCATCCGCTGGGCATGCGCCGTACCGAACCCGAACCCTGCGACCCCGTCTTGCGCCCTTCGCCCCGTCCTGGACTCTGCGCCTCCTACCCTAGGCCTTCCACTTTCCGTTCCTGCTGCCCTGAGCCCTGCGCCGCACGGCTTGCGTCCCCCCTCCCGCCCTGTAGCATGCCCCTTCGCCCTAGGCTCTGCCTTTTCAACCCTGCGTCCTCCTCCCTCCTCATTTGGCCCCGCGCCCCTTCGCTCTGCGCCGTCCCTGAGCCTTCTGCCCTGCGCCCTAGGCCTTGGGCCCTTAGCACTGCGCCCTCCCGCCGCGGGCCATCGCCACCCTCCAACACGTGGAGGAAGCAAAGCGGGTGTTCGAGGGAGGCGATTCCATCCCCAGAAACACTTCTCTTTTTATAGAAGGGGCCCACACATCGATCCGGAGGGCAGATTTTTATGGTCCCCCGCTTTCCATGTTCCTTATCTGGACGAGCTAATACGCTGGCGGCTCGAAAGCCTCCAAATGATATAAGAAATAATGTTTTCGGTTATCGACAGGAAAAACACGACGGTCCCGGTGAGGAAGAGGGATATTATTTCAGGAAATTGTGTTCGCATCGTGTTCAGTACGTAAGATATGAAGGGACAGCGTTTTACGAGAATATGGTTGCCGCCTATTATATACTTCCACAATAGTATAGAGTAGAAATGTACAATTATGCTCGTTTTCACTATTTTTTTCAAATGTGCAACATATTAAAATGTTATTAATAACTGATTACAATTTTTAAAACATGGAAAAGTCAAAAGGTTTTTCAAGTCGTCAATATAGATACAGATATATAGGATTCGGAATTTTAAGATGTGTACAATAACGGACGTTTTTAGCACTGTAAGTTTAAGTTTCCATAAATATCCAACTCGTGTACATCTGTTTGTATATTGATACATATTTTCGTTCAGGTCGTTTCATTCAACTTTAAAATACACTTTTTCAATAGCCAATATAATTATAACCTCTTTCGAGGAGTATTATCTTATTAGGCGATATCTTTATACTACGGGCAATTCCGTTCTGTAGGGAAGTGGGCATTGTGAAACTGCAAAAAGACGATTCTATGAAGAAAGAATTTCTTACTCCAGAACATAACATGTTTTTGCACGGGCACAATTCACGCTTGTTGTCTCTACAATTCAATACTTAATTTTTCTATTATTAGCATAGGAATAGATGTTTTCTATCTGTCCCACTCGTTAAGTAGATAAGGTACTGGTTACGAATGATTGAGCAACCATGACAATGATAGAAAACACAATAAAACATTCATTATTATGTTAAGTCGAATCTCGGTAATACAGGAAAAATACGTTTTATCTAATAACCAACAATCCATTAATTCATATACAAAAATATTATAAGATAATGAAGTGATTATTTCATCCACCATAGATGCCCCTTCCAACCAATCCATTTCTGTATCTGGAATGACAACCACTGCCCTCAAAGTACACAGAATAAACAGAAGGTGTGGACAGACCGTTGAAGAGGAAGCGCTCGTAGTACTGCAGGTCCTTGCCGGCGGCCGTCATCGCCGCGCCGCGCCAGCCACGCCACGCCACGCCACGCGCCGCCTCGCCTCGCCTCGCCTCGCCGCTTTCGGCGAAAGTGCAGCTGCGATAGAGCCCGCCCGGCCACAAGAGCGCACTCGGCGAGGGGGGCGGATACAGCACAAAGGTCACTCGGCGCCACGGCACACTACGAAAAGCGCAGATACACAACTGCACATCCCGCACGTCTCCGATCTGCACGCTCAGGAGGCAGGTCTCCACGAACGTCGCCGCACCTTCGCGGATGAGAACACCATCGGATCTGTTCGCCGAGGAAATTCCCGCAGCCAAACCAAAGGCGTGGCGAGAAGCAAGGGGATCTGGGGTTGTCGGGCGCCATGCGGCACCGCGGCCAGAGGACCCGGGTTCGCCGGCGTGCAGCCCGGAGCGGGCGATTCCGCGCACTAGCCCAGCGCACCTCCTTCCGACCGGCCGCCGGTCGCCCGCAGCCCACGCCGCAACACACGAGAGGCGGCAATAAAAGCGACGTTGCCGCTTGGGGCGGGCGCGCCGCCGCCGCCGCCACGAGGCGAAGCGATCCGCGGGCATTACAATACAATACCGGCCCTACGTCGCCCTCGGCAGCCGCGCTGCCGCTGGCGGCGGAGGCGGCGACGGAGGATTCGCAGTGCGACGCACCAGTACGCCCTTCGGCGATCGCACCGTGGTTTGCAGCATTACTCACGCAACTTTTCTTGAACGATGACCTTTCTTCCCCCTCTTCGCCACAATAAACAGTTGAGGGCAAAAGCTCGCAGCGAGCACTAACGACAACATTCCAAACACATCTTCACTGGCGCGAAATAGAAACAATTTTCTTGTGAAGACGAGAACTTGTATCCATTTTTTAGTCCAAATATCTAAAGAAATGACCAAAGCAGGTAAAGATCTATTACAGGAGATACCTTGAATACCTGAGAAAGTTAGAACGCAAATTATTGGGAACGTTGTGAAGGCATGACTGATTCTCCAGAGAATGGCATTGCTTTATAATATTCTAGAGGCCAATTTCGTAACTAATACCCCCACTCTACCCGCATTTCTTTAATCCATCGTTCAAGAAAAGTTGCACGAATATAACTAAAACTTTCTTGAAGTTTGCGAGAGAAAATGAATGTGTGTCTCCTCCGGTGGCGTAACGGGCGGGCCCACAAGGCCCGCAATGCGGACGGGCCGGGGTAAAAGAGGGCCCGTTTTTAGGAGTGTTTTTTTTTATTGCTTAAGGTACTACCACTGCTTGTGATAGCTTTACACTTTTATAAAGGGAGGCAGGATAAATGTTTTGCGGGCGGGCCCGCTCTCATTTCGTTACGCTACTGATCTTATCGCTCAAAATAAGTTTATTCGCCGAGAACAGCCGTTTTAAGTCAACAGAAGCGATGAGTGCGTTGAATCTCGCCTCGTGTTCTGTCGAAATGTTAGCAGCAAGCGAGTTGGAGTTACTCATTGGAGTTACTGCTGAGTCTCTTCTGCAGTGCGTAGATCTTTCAGGCCATTATTCTTTGGAAGAACTTTTTCCATATTTGAAAACAATTTTTCTCCAAATCTACCAGGCGCTTTCTTCGATTTTTTGTTTCACCTCCTCTAGCGAACTCATTCTTTCAGACACGGGTTTCCCTGATCCATCCAATTCCACTATAATTTCAACAAGAAATGTGAATTGGGACTTAACTAACATCTAACTCTCCCAACAATGAACAGGATTTCAGAGAATTTTGTAACAGCCACGTCGCAGCGCGGCACGCGGCGTTGCCAAATTTCAATGTGATATCTCCTGGGACAAGTGAGACAAGTAAATGGACAAAGGATATTCGAAAAGTTGCAAATTTTAGAAAGTACTCATAAAAAATGTACATTAACGTTTTTAAAGAACTGATTTTATAGAACAGATTTCAATATTCTTCGTTTGCTATTTTTTTTGTTGCTGATTGCAATTGTTGAAAATGGAATTAGCCGAAAATGGGATCAGCACCACACGCTTAGCAGTTCTTTGCTGCACACACAAAAAATTAAGAAAATTTTGAACTTTTTTCGAGAAAATAGCTTATTTTTTTTATAATTACCTATATTTCACACCAAATTAAAAGAAAGAGACAGAATATATTAGTAAAATTAGTCTCATTTTAATTTTTTTAAAGAAAAATTGGCATTCATGTTGTTTTGCTAGATACTTTGAATAACACACATTTTAAAAATACATACTATAAGGAAAACTTAAACCCTATAAGTAGAACGTAAATACCACTAGAAAACAAATGTTTGAAGAGAACACAACTTTCACAGGTGCGCGCGTTTGAGTTCAGAAAGCGTCCAGAGGTTGTCTATGTTTGCGTGTGCAGTGCGCACGGCACGGTCGCTCAGGATTTGTGGCCGGCGAGAGCGATAAGCTCGCATTACCCCTCTCCATTTCTCGCGTTCTTTAAAGAAGCCTCCCAAGCAGCGGCCCCAGGCTTTTCTTGTGGCCCACGCCCCGACGCTAAATCCCGTGCTGTTGCTCTTCACCGACGCTCGGTTATTGGCTCTGGGCGAGAATAAATATAATATCCATACTAAAATATTTGCAGTAGTACACAAAACAATTCGTCTGCCTATCCCAAAATTGGGAGAGCACTTGACGACGTGTCGTCATCGTCGGGGCGTGTAGCCGCCTCTGCGAGAACTGATTGCAAACAGTCGAAGGTCGACAACCACACAGCGAAGTCGTGTTATCTCTCAGCACTGTGCGTTGCCCCCTTAAGTTCGTTGAACGCCAAAACGACGCATAAATGCCCTGGAATACTACACAAGCCAATTGCCTATTTCTGTAAATCTCGAATGTACATGTAGACGGTAAGTACTTCTAACTGTAAGCATGCACTCGTATCTCAAAGAAGTTTGCTTTCCATCATCGTGAGTCATACACCACCAGTCATCAAGCCCAAAGCAGCAATTAAGTCACAAGTATATTGAAACGCAGATGAAGTAAGACGTGATTATGGAAATCAAGTACTACCTCTGAAACGTTCAATATAAACATGTACAAACGAAACGTGGTCGACCCCTCTTTCGTGACGCCCCTCCACCGCCGCCTCCCTGCGCCCGCACACTGCCTTCCACGCACCGCGAGGACGCGCTCCGCCGCATCGGAAGTTGTGGAGGTCACCTGTTCATTTGCATTGCAGCCGCTATCTCGAAGGGCGCAGAAAGCAAAGAGCTCTGCATTGGGGGGGAAAGAACCGCTCATGACGATGGCGAGGCTTCGCGCCGACGCTCGGCGGGAGGGGGCCCCGCTCTGTGGCAAGGAGATCCCTGATGAAGGCTAAATGCACCGAACATTACTTGTAGGATCGCATCACTATCACAGGGCAATTTACTTTACCGATAAAGTCTTTAATTTTGCTTTTACACGTATACAACGCATTTTTCTGAGCCTTAACATCCGATATCTACGAAGGACTTGTGGAATACTTACATAGCACAAGTACACTTACATGTGGAACAAGAGGTAATCCACATTGCTAGGTTCAAAGCAGGATATTTTGCTTGACAGCATGTATCCTGCATGGCGGTTTTTGACCTGCTTTTAGAGATGTAAAAATAAAAATAAGCAGAAGAATATAAAATACTACACAATTTTCGGGAAAATGCAAATATATTTGCATTTGTATATAACTTTAGCACAACACTTTTCTATTTAAAAAAAGGGGAGAAAATAAATGCTGATTTGAAATTAAAAATTGATAACTACGTTAGTCGATAAAATAATTACCTATAATAGTAATTGATAAGCTTAAAAAAATGACAAAAATAAATTTTCTAAAATGTCCAAATTTAAATATGTAAGACCTAACGTTTAATTTTTTGAATTAACAGGGCCTTCTCTACCTTATCTCCCTGCAGGAACATCTGGTTCGGTAAGTCATCAATGACGGAATTCGGGGTTATCGACTTGCCCCCTGACACCCGACCGTTATGGATGCATCGCGAATCTGAGCCCAGTGCTCACCCGTGATAAACCGATCACCTTCAACCCACCGCTTCAGTTTTATTTGTGTGAAGAATTGCGTACAACGCGAGATTTTGGATTCTAAAAGTACGGAATGTAACATTCAAACTCAAATTCATTTTAGAGCTAGACAAAATGTAGAGATTTGATCCCGATTCACAGAGATTAGTAAAAAAAGCGAAAAATATTACAACATATTTCAACCAAGACTAGAAAAAATAAATATTTTTTTTAAATTGAAAAATGCCTAAAACTACATTTACTCAAAATAAAAAAATTAAAAATTTGCCAGAATTGTTATTATTTTAAAATAATTCATGCAAAAATACCAAAGAGATTTAAATACATTCATTAGAATAGAATCCTTAACATGCGATGTCTAGTCATTACAATGAACGAAAATTCAAAATCTATAAACATGTGAATACCTTTCTTTTAATTATTAAGAAGACCACAATCATTCCAAGAGCTTCAGGTTCTACTAAGTGTCGGAAAGTAGAAGTTAATTTTGAAGTAGTGAATAATAGTACATGTATTATGATATATATTAATTATATATTATGTTTATTATTAAACAATATTTTTAAACATATTAAAGTGTGGCTTTAACAACTCTTTTCCTATGTTAAAATGTGTCTTTATTCCTCTCGTGATGAAAGTGGCACTTTAATCCCTCTGGGATTAACGGTCGGTTTCACTACCGTTACTTAAAATTATATGTTCGTCTTAAGAATTTTAAGGCAGACTTACGACATTTTCGTTTTACCATTCCCTTTTGGGCAAACTTAAACGATAAATTCGACTTACATTTAAGGCTAAATGCACCGAAAAATACTTGTAGGAAAATTCAGTAGATCGCAGCACTTTCACAGGGGAATTTACTTTACCCATAACGTCTGGACCAATTATCCGATTTTCAATCTGTAAACGGCATTTGACGCCTTTTTAAAATAGAATTTACGCTACGAAGCCCTTTTTCCAAAAATCTAGCACAAACTAAAATTTGAAATTAGTTCTCAAACTTCCGAAAAAAAATTTAAAAATGTGGGCTTATAGCGCGATGGCGACATCCTTCCCGAATCCAACGCCGTGACATGCAAATCGGACGAATAGGAGCGTCGTAAAGTGAAATTTAGGAAAACACCTCGCCCCCCTTCCCCTTTTGCACAGTTGCGTCACCCACTCGTTTGTTGTGGGGCCTCCGTCGGCGCGGCGGCATGGCCAGGCCCGGCGACGTGCGGCCAGCCCTGGCGGAGGAGGCGGGACTTGCGGGATACGCAAGCCAGACAGTCGGTTTCGGCTTTCGTCACTTTGCATC